CCTCCTGTACAGAGCTGATATTCAGGGGCCCTTTACCAAGTGCCTCTGGCCAGGCACAGGGCCAATGAATGGCTCCTTCCTCCTAACTACTGTATGTGCATCAGGCCTGGTCACAGTCCTCTCAGGACAGAGCCCTCGTGTCACCCCTCACTGAGACTCAACCCTGAGCCCTGATCTCAGGCTCTGATGCTTCCCAGCCTGGCCCTGACCCCTCTCCATCTTTATACTTCTTCCTTCTCCCTCCCCGATCCGAGAGCTCTGCCTTGGGATGGTCACCCTGTGGTCACCCCTGGAGGCGTTAGCTCCACAGAGAAGCTCTCTCGGTCTTCTGGTCCCAGCTGGGCTCCAGGATGATGTGGGTCCCTTGCTTGTTTCTGTCTCCTCTGCTCGGTGGACTGAAGTCGGCTGGCGTGCTCTTCCTGCGCTCCACAGGAAGTCAGTAAGCACTGCTGAATTGAATTTGATAGGGCAAGTTTAGGGGAATCAGCCAAAAAGCTAGTTTAAAATAAAAATATCAGCCTTCTTTTGCTTTGGCTAAGAAGTAGCTCTTCTCTTTGTTTGCCTTCTGGGGAAGAAAGTTACAGAGAATGCTGAGTCTACAAGGGGGAAGAGAAGGAACAAAAAGGTCTGGAAAACTGGGTAGACACTGGGTACGTACAGCTACGTATTTAAATTTAAATTACTGACATAAATGAAAAGATCTGTCCTGCGTGGCACTGCCCTACTGCGTGCACTCGCTAGCCATGCGTGGCTGCCATAAAAGTCCTTGGAGGAGGCCCTGTTCTGGGTTACTGACACACTGATTCTCAAATTCATCCAAGAAACATGTATTGAGCATCCACTGAGCGGGCAGAAAGGTGGTGGGCTCCAGTGAGAAGTCGGGTCCACCTACTGTCTGGGGGCACTCTACAGAGGAGGGGACCATCACCCCTGATCCAAACAGGCGCACCCAGAGGCCCCCGCATGAGTGGAATGCCAGCTCCGGCTCTGGTCGGGCTGCAGCCCGGGATGGATGGCTGAACGTGAGGGCCGTCAGAGGTGGAATCTGGCCCGCCTGGGTTGCTTCGCTGTGTCTCCATCCCTTTCCGTGCTGGCCTGGACGTGCTCCCCAAGCAGCCAGAAGCCCAGGCCGTGTACACCCATAAACCCTGCGGCAGCCCCAGGGGCAGAGAGGAGCTGGGTTGTTATTTATTTAGGAGCAGCAGAATCCTGAGGTACCATAAAAAGTGGAGGGAAGATTTGGGAGAGGAATGAGGCAGCCCCAGGCTGGGAAACAGCCTGCTTTGCAGGCTTCAGCAGCCAGGTCCAGCGGCTGAGCGGGTCTCGGCTGGTTGCCCATTCTGCTGGCAGGTACAGAAGAAGGGGGCTGGGGCTGGAGCCCTTTATTTGAAATTCAGGAAAGCGGATTTCAGTGGTTGAGTTGGGATGAGCAGGAAATGAACAGAAAAGCCTTTTTTTTTTCCTGCTGGCCTTGTACCCAGGGCCTTACACATGCTAAGCAAGCACTCTAACAATGAGCCACATCCTCCACCCAAAAGTCACTGTTTGAAATGAGAGTTGCGCCTACCCTGGACTTGGCAGTAATCATGAAGGTTCACACGTCCCTGCATTAGGCAGGATGACATGGCAGGTGACAGAAAAAACCAGCTCACAGTGTCAGGAAGTAACCCTTCAGCCAGAGATTCTTTGTTCCAGCTCCTCCACGGCCCTTCCTTCCCCTGGGTGTGTGCCAGGAGCAAGCAGTGCTGAGCCTATGAACCCCCTTTCTGGGGTCCCTGTTGCCCAGTGGCATCAGAATCGTGTAGAGCAAGGCTTGCTTTCCTGGATGGCCGGGCCAGCCCCGGGGCCACCTGGCAGGTGTTGGCAGCTCAGGCCATCCTCAGCATACCTGGTACTGTTTTGTCCCCTCCCAGCAGGGTCCTGGGGTGTGTGAATGTGCTTCCTGGTAGGGCCCAAGGTGAGGGTGCTCAGAATGGTGCGCTGGGCAGCTGGACTGAGGTGCTGCGGGGTGAGTGGGGGAACCCCCTGTCCCAGGAGGCCTTGGTCACAGCACCTGAGTACTGTGAGGTGGGTGGGGAAAGAGAAAGAGCTCAGGATTTTCTTTTTGCCCCATGGGGCCTGGGGAGGGCCCCACTGAGGAAGGCTTCCTACAGGGGAAGCACCTGACCAGGCCTCAAAAGAGAGACAGTTTCTCAGGTCTTGCTGGAGAGGCCAGGATGACTGCTTAACACTGTTCTGCAGAGTGCCCAAGCACCCCTGTGTGTGACTTTCAGCCCGGCTGAGCCAGGCCGGTTCTAGGGGATCCATGATTCTTCCATATCCTGCCCAGGCCCCTCGCTCTTCCTTTCTACAGGGTCTGTGCCAATAAGCTCTCTCTGAGGTTTGGGGTGCTATCAATAGGGGCGCTCAGGTGATGGGTGTGGGCAGTGTGGGCCGAGGGACAGAGTGCTGCTGGAGATCTCTCGGGAAGAGATTGCTGGACAGGGGGACCCAGACTGCGGGCACGGTGGGCAGGGTGGGAGAGCATGTCTCCACACACAGCAGCCACACTGCAGTCTGGGAGAGGCCGGGTGAAGCCAGGATGCCCGCTGGACCTGACATGTGGATGTGCCTGAGGAGGAGATAAGGTTTCACCGAACTCCCACCTCCTCTGCAGGAAGCTGCACAAGGATCCAACTTGTGGGACCCAGGCTGGCCTGGTGGGTTGTCCCCCGAGCGGGACACTGGGCAGCGGGAGGCTGTCCCTGTGGCCTGGCCTTTCCTCACCTTTGTACCCTGCTCTGAGCTGCTCTTGACTAACACAGCCACCAGATTTTGTTTCGAATTCTCCCCTGCTTGGGCCAGAACACTTGGGCTTCCAGGCGTGGTAGGGAAGCAGACCTTGAGCCAAACTATGTTGTGAAAAACCAAAGGTCAGGGCTATGCTCAGCAACTGCACTGGCTGCTGCAGTGAACCCTGGGCGCCTACATTTCTGAAGGCAGATGAAGTCCCAAGGCCTCTTGGGGCTTCCTGGCCCGCCCGCCCTGATGGCCGTTGGTGCTGGAGTGTCCAAACAGGGTTTCTTGTTTAAACTTTTTCTGCAGTTTCTAAACAATACAAGAGACTGACATTACATTTGTCACCAGAAAGACCGGTAAGGTAAATTTTTAAAGTAGAAAAAGAGAGTAAATATATAAACAGACAAACCTCTGTGGGTCTCATGGTTCTGAGCCCACGGTAGTTCAGAATGGTCTAACATGTGTTTTAGGAGAAGATAGAATGACAGTGAACAGCTGCTGGAACAGTGGGTCTTCAGTGTGTCTCGGTTGCCTGGTTTCATGTCTTGTGGCTGCACACTGAGTGGGTTAAAATACTGCCAATTTCTTCTCTACACTTCTGGAGGCCACAGGCCTGAACTCGACACTGCTTGTCTGAAATCCTGGTGTCAGGTGCTGGTGGGGCTGAGCTCCCCTGAGAGGTTCTAGGGGAAAATCCATTCCTGCCTCTTCCAGCTTCTGTGGCTCTGGACGTTCCTTGGCTTGTGGCTGAATCCCTGTAGTCCTCAGAGTCCGTCTTCCCTGGCGTCTCTCTCCTCTCCGGTCTCTTCTGTGTGTGTCATCTCTCCCTCTTCCAGCTGGGTGTGGTGGCACGCGCCTGACTGACATCCCAGCACTCTGGGAGGCTGAAGCAGGAGGATCACAAATTCAAGCACAACCTGGGCAGTTTAGTGACTTAGTGATACCTTCTCTCAAAATTGAAAAGTAATAAAAGGGCTAGGGACGTTGCTCAGTGTAAAGGCCCTGGGTTGGATCCCCAGTACTGCAAACACAAAACAAAAAAACCCTCCCTCTTCTGTGAGTTTTGTGGTGACCTTTATTAAAAGGTAATCCTGGACAATCTCTATCGCAAGATCCTGCCCTTAAGCACACTTGTAGAGACCTTTTCCAAATAAGGTCACAGTCACAGGTTCTAGGAATTAGGATATGATCTCTCCCGTGTGTGTGTGTGTGTGTGTGTGTGTGTGTGTGTATGTGTGTGTGATTATTCAGCCCCCTGCTCTGTCTCACCAATAAGACGCTGTCGCTACCTTCTGTTGCTGTGCAGCTGCCCTGGGACTGTTCTGCTGGCTCCATGGGAGGGGGTTGCTGGGAATTGTCCCCACACCTCCCACAAGAAGAGTCCCTTGCTATGAGAAATGCTCCCAGGGTCCTGCCTGACACAGGGAGATGACATCCTGAAGTGACATTTCATGGCCTCTGCTCTGTCATCTAGAGACCTGTACATAAGGCTTGCCTGGTCACACATAACTCCTGTGGCCCTGTAGGGCAGGGACTGTAAACTCTGAGACCTCTGAGAGGCGGGCGAATCACAAAAATGTGTGACGTGGCCATGCGGCCACTGGAAAATACACATTTTTGTCCAATAAAGGCACCAGTCTTCAGTCCAGCCCGAAGTGGTCAGGGAGGAAGGCTTCCCCAATATAGCTGTGTGTCCTCCCTTTTCCAGGAGAAGCTGAAAAGCTGGAGGTTTTAGACAAATAGGCTGAGTTTTAACATTGGCATGAATATATATTTCCTTTAAACTGAGTTGGGAAAGCAAAACCTAGCTCTGTCTGAGGTTTGAATGGACCTTCCAGGCGAGGATGCCCCCATACCCTGAGGACCACCTCACTGTCACTGCTCCCACCCCCAACAGGCCCAGCTCCAGATCACATTCTGACTGGGGCTAGTGGGGACACTCAGGTTGCCAGGTGAACAGCCCCTGGGACTCCAGGAAACAGAGCCTGGCAGGAAACAGTGCTGAGCCTCCAGCCTGGCCCCTGTTCCCAGGGCCGCTGAGTCTGGGGAAACCGGCAGCAAGAGACTGCCCCCTCCCAGAGGACTGCTGAGATTACTGACTCATGCCTGTGTGGTAGGAATCTTCCAGGAAGCCTCCATCCGGCTTGCCCTCAAGGCTAGGGTGGGGACTGCAGCTCCCTCTGACACCACTGGCTAATGGGACAGGGTTGACTTGGCAGGGTGCATCCTGGGCAGGTGCTCGGGAACCTTCTCTCCGCCCGCCTGCTTGGGGTGGGGGACAGTGGCCATCCTTCCACACAGCTCAGCCCAGTTGTAGGGTGAAGGGCTGGGCCAGCCAGGGCTGAGGAAGGGGAGCCAGAACGAGGCTTTTTAAACACTTGAAGCCAAGGAAATCGCAGCATCGCTGGACAGAGAAAATGAAAGACTTTGGAAGTCGCCAGGAATTCAACTCTGCGAGTTGGTTTCCGAGAGCCTAAGTTAAGCATCTCCAAGTGGATATTAAAAAGAAGCAGCGAGACGAAGGGCGGCAGGGGCTGAAAGGGGAGGAGAAAGGAGCCCGCGCTGCCGGAAGCTGCACGCTGGACCACTGAAGCCACCGCACGGAGGGCTGGGCCGTCCTCGCGAGCAGGGAGCACTCAGGGACCACGGATCCCTTCGCAGCCCACCTCTAGCCCTCTCTCCTGACTCTTTTGTTTTTCCTCCTCTCTTTCTGCTTCCTTTTCCCTCGGGTTTTGAAGAGACAATGCTACTTCAGTTTGGAGCACAAACATATGATCCACACATGGAAATGTGGTAATTTGGATGTATTCGTGATTGCCACAGATTGAAGAAATTAGACCAGACAAAGAGTGTTTTGGGAAGAGGAGGAGGCAGAGAGAAGGAGGGCGCCGGGGGTGAGAAAGGAGGACGCCTCTGAACAGGGGAAGCCTGGACGCCCGCCCGCCTGCCTGCTGCTAAATATAGCCGTCGGAATGGAGAGGGACCGGATCACAGGTAGGCAGACTCCTCCACGTCCACCCCCCGACTCGCACCCTGAACTCCAAGCTTTACTGATGCTTTGGAGAGCTAAGCACCCAAAGGTCTCTTGGACTCATTTTTGCAGAAATATTTCTTCGGCTTTTGACTGTGCGAAGTTTATGGGATGGAATGAATGTTGCTCCCCAAACTGAGCCCTACCAAGTCTGGCTTTTACTTAAACGCGACTCTCCTCTCCCCTTGCTCTTTCTCTTTCAGTTTTCAACGTACCCCTTTCGCATCTGCGACCACTGCGAAAATCCAAATTGTGGGCACCGAGGTCCGGGGAAAGTGTAGGGGGCCCGCTGTGCTGCTCGGGTGGCTGGGTTGGTTTGTCCACCGTGTGGTTTATTTCTTTGCTGCTAGCCAAAGTCTCTTCAAGGCCGCCCTGGTCTCCTCCCTGAAATAGCATTTCTGGGGCCTCACCAGGCGTTGATTATAGAGGTGGAGGCTCCTGGCGCTCAGAGGAGGTGTACGCACTTGTGTGTGTGTGTGTGTGTGCGCGCGTGCATGCACGCACGTGCACATGGACGTGCAGCCCCCTTGGAGTCACCACAGATCATGGGCTGCAGGTATGAATGGATAAAAGAGGGGAAAGAAGTCCTCCCCTTCCTTAGGAATTTCGGTTTTAACAGAGCTCCCTTTGGAGTACTGAGGATTGAACTCAGGGCCTTCACACTGAGGTGCCACACACACACACACACACACACATAGAGTCTCCCTGAGTCACTAAATTTCCCAGGCTGGGCTCCAACTCTCCGTCCTCCTGACTCAGCCTCCCTGAGTCCAGAAACCCTCTTTTCTTGCTCAGACCCCTCAAGCTCTTGCCTGGCACATGCTCTGTGGGGCTATGGTCACCAGTGAGCAGCAGTTATCACCGTGCCTGTCACTCCTGGTGCAGCCTAGAGCCAGGTGCTGGGGGCTGCCGTGTGTTTCAAGGACTGCTGAGGCCATGAGCTAAGCTCTGGGCTTCCTGTGTTCTGAGGTAGCATGGGGTCAGTGAGGCTGAGGATGCTGCCCTGTAGGTGCTGGCCTGATGGTTGCCCCTGTGTGCGTGGGAGGTCCCTAAGAGGCCAGGGAGAAGGAAGACCCACCCAGCACCTCTCTGAAGGTTGCCCTCTCCCTGCCACTGCAGGGGCCAATCAGGCTCCTGATGTGATGTTGAGCTGGGGTGCAGCTGCCAGGGTCATTCGATGGGCACACACCGATGGATGTAGCAGACAGACGCCTGGGGAGGTGGGGCAGCCTCAGAGACTGCAGAAGGACAATGTGGGGGGTAGAAGTGCCACCCTCTGTGTTGGCCTTAGTGACCTGGGCCGGCTGGGAGTGATGGATCCTGGTGCCCAGGGGGCACTGAGGGACTCTCCCTGGGGCCAGGTGGGTGGAGTGGTCCTTGGAGCCAGTCCCCTGTCACCAGGAGAAGGCCTCACCACCGCCTCAGCCACCAGTGGCAGGATGCCCATCACTCTGGGGTTTGGCTGGCAGGGGCCTCTGGGAGCCTTGGGTACAGCTTTCATTCATTCATTTATGTTTCAGTGCTGGGGAGTAAAGCCAGGGTCTCGTGTGCGCTCAGCAGGCATCCCACCGCCCAGTCACACTCCAGCCCAGTCTTCCTTTTATAGACAACAGGCAAGGCCAGCTGGGTGACCCGAGAGCCAAGGCCCAAAGGCAAGGTGGGCCCCTGGGGACTGGAAGGAGGGACGGGAACCCCCAGGGCTGACCGGGCTCCAGGGCCTCTTCATGAACAGAACAAAGCGGCCCTTGAGAAGGGCCGGCTCTGCCCCGTCATTGCTGCCCTCACCAGGCATGAGGCGGGACCTTCTCCCAAGAGGTGCCTGGTGAGAGATGACTGTTTCCTGTGAAATCCCTGTTTGGTTCTGGTTTTATTTTTAAAACCTTATTTTTCCAAAACTCAGTTCCACACAGGCTACACTAGGAGAGAAGAGGAAAATCCTCAGCCTTTTCCGAGTTTCCTCACCTGGGCCAACCTTCGCTTTTAACAGCCAGTGTGGTACTGGAGTCTGAGCCTGGGGTGTTCACACTGAGCCACATGCCCAGCCCTTTTAATTTTTATTGTTTTGAGACAGGGTCTTCTAAGTTGCTAATTTGCCTAGGTTGGGTTTAAACCTGCGATCCTCCTGCTCCAGCCTCCCAGAGTGCGGGCTGATGGCTGTGCACCACCACTCCCGTCTTCACTTTGGTCGTTGACTGTAGCTAAACTCCTAGCCTCACCCCTGGGGAAGCAAGCCTTGTCATCTCCTTCTGGACGACCCTGACCAGATCATGTGGCAGCTTGGCTCTCCACTCTCTCAGCTGCACAGTGAGGGCTCTGCACTGGCTGGACCCCCTGGGCAGTGTCCCTCCTGTCCAATGGGCTTCTGAGCCTGCCCTACATCCCACCTGCCAGTGTCAGGTGTGGCTGTCATGTTGCTTCTGCTCTACAGCTGCTTAGAGAGTGTGGTCCTGCCCTGGTGGGTCCATGGCGAGGGGCTTTGGGCTGGGGCACCCTGAGATCTGCTCCCCTCGACGGCCCGTGAGCCAGCCCAGGGTCCTCCCAGCCCCCTCTGAGGCCACTGCCTTCCCTGGGAAGAAGCAGTGAGCTCGTTAGCAGGGCAACGTGAGTCACGGAGCAGGCACAGGCCGCTGAGGCAGGGAAGGCCTCTCCTCCAGCCAAGGGTCAGGTTTTTTTTTGTTGTTGTTCTTGACTGGCTTTGTGGCTTTTACAAATTAAGCAGTTTTATCTTGTTCCAAGAGCTTGTATTTCAGCAGGGAGAGAATCTCTGACAAGGAAACTTTCCACTGGGGGTGGGAACCGCGAGCGGGTGCAGCGTAGGCAGTGGAGTCACTGTGTGATCAGCATTGCCAGCGTGATCTCCCCTGGACATCTGCCCTGGTCCCTGTCTGGCTGGGGCAGCGTGGGCCCTCCGCCTTGGGATGGGCAGGGAGCTGGAGGCCAGGCCTGCGTCCTTACTGTCCCCCCCATCTTCGTGTTGACATCTCTTGCTGTCCCTGACTCCCTGGGGAATTGTCACCCCAGCCTGTGGGGCGCTGTGGGCCACGAGCAGAATGGACCACCTTCACCCTTTCTGGCTTTGCCATCCCATTCCCTATGAGACATCTGGCCTGCAGCCCTTCCAGGGAACTTTGGTCCCTGCAGGGGTTTCCTCATGGCCCAAAACAGCAGAAATGTGCTGTCTCATGGCTGTGGAAGCCAGAAGTCTGAGAGCAAGGCATTGGCAGGGCCGGTTCCTTCCGAGGCTCTGCGGGAGGATCTGTTCCAGGCCTCTCCCAGCTTCTGGTATCTGAGGCAGTCCTTAGCATTCCTTAGCTTGTAGGCGCATCCCTCCAGTCTGTCTCCACTGACATATGGCCTTCTGCTCTGACCCTGATTTCCCTTTGCACGCATCATACATGTAGGGCTCACTGGGTAACCCAGGATGATCACATTTCAAGATCCTTAATTAACTTAATCTGCAGACTCTTCTTCCACATAAGGCTATGTTCACAAGCTCTGGGTGGACACGACTGGCAGGTTGGGCAAGGGGAATGGATCATTCACCTCTCTTTGGTTCCCATGTAACCTGGATGCGTAAAGTCATGTTCCATGTCCCAGGGCCCTCCCTGGCCCCCTGTGGGCCTTTGGTGTGGCCTCTAGCCTTCCCACTGGTCACTTACCCCTGGAGGCGTAAGAGGCGGCCCAGCCCCAGGCGAGATTCCAGGGACAGCCAGGAGGGCAGCCAGGAGCTTGCCTTACTGCCTTTCCCAAAACTTCCTGCTCGGTGTCCTCCTGGGCCCCTGCCCCAGCTGGCAGTGCAGCTACCATGAGGGCACAGTGGGGAAGTGGGTGGACCTGGGGACAAGGTACATGGATGAGAGGTCGGTGTGATTCTCTTCAAGCCCCAAATCAAGTCTGTCTAGAAATTGTTCTAACTTGAAAATTTATTTCTGTGTAAAGTTCCCTTAAAATGACATGAGCACCGCATTGCTATGCCTTAAATAACTATGCAGCATGTTATGAGGGCAACTCTCAGCTCTGTGGGGTGGACCCTGCAGCCACTCTACTGTGAGAACTTGGGGCATCCAGGGCTCTCCCTGGACTCCATACTCCTTTGTAAAAAAAATTCTTGTAAAATAGATATAATATGAAAGGTAACATTGTAATAGTTTTCAAGGGTACAGTAGGTGGCATTAAGTACATTCACATTGTTGGGCAGTTGTCACCACTATCCTTTTCCACAGTGTTTTCACCTTTATCTTAGCTGGGCATGGTGGCACATACCTGGAATCCCAGTGCTCTGGGAGGCTGAGGCAGGAGGATTGCCAATTTGAGCCCAGCCTGGGCAAGTTAGTGCCTTAGTGAGACCCTGTCTCAAAATAAAAAGAGTTAGGATGTAGCTCAGTATGAAGCTTCTGGCTTCAAACCTCAGTACTACAAAAGAAACAAACAAACCAGGTTTCTCCAAAAACGCTGTCTCCACTGACTTCCCATTCCTGACTCCTCCCCTTCTACTTTCCATTGCTGTGAATTAGACTACTTAGGGACCTCATGAGTGGAATCCTCCATTGTTTGTCTTGGTGTGATTGGGCTTATTTTACTCAGCATCATATGCTCAGGTTCATCCATGTTGTAGCACATGGATGTTAGAATTTCCCTCCTGTTAAATAATATTCCATTTAAAAAAGGAGGGGGCGCTGGGGATTTAGCTCAGTGGTTCCACCACCTGCCTTGAAAGCGCAAGGTCCCGAGTTTGATCCTCGGTAAGAAAAAAGAAAATTCCATTTTATGGCCATCCCTGGACACTCAGGCCGCATCTGCCTTTAGGCTATTGCAAATAATTCTGCTCAGGTCATGGGAGTGCAAGTCTTTTCTGGTCTCTGTTCTCAGTTCATTGGTACGTACCAGAAGTGGAAGTGCTGGATTCTGTTTGACTTTTTCAGGAACTACCATATTGTTTTCCACACTCCACTGCCACCAGCCC